CGGGGAACATTGCAGTCCTCCCTCACTGAAGCAAGCAAGCCTCATGTTAGCTTCCAGCTGCCTGGCTGCTGGCCGCCATCTTGGCTGGCAGTTAATTTGCATATCACCCTGATTAGCCCATGGGAAGGGTTGCGGTCGTACGCTAATTACCGTGTTTCTCTTTTATTAGATAGGATTTGCATCTTTTGCATGCAACATTGCAATTAAAGTGTAAAGTAAACAAAGTGGCCTAAAAATATATCTGTAAAGAAACCATAATGATGGTACTTATAATACAAGTACAAGGATATAATAAGAAAATGGCAAATCTGACACTTTCAGCTCCTAGTATAAGTTAATCATCAGCATATACTGAGGTTTATAGTAATCATGATCCAATCACATCTATCTGGAAATTAAAAAACAATTATCAAGAATACTATTTTAACTGAATTTACATCCACTATCACTAATAATAAACCTAGTTTTAATTGTGTAATGAAATCTGACAATTGGCTAATGGCAGCTGAACATGTCACTAATTCATAAATAAGTATATATAATAAAGATGGATCATCAAAAACAGCTGGAAGACCACTGCACTACAGAGATAATATCCCTAAAATATCTTGTTCAAAAGCCTAAGACTTGAGTATCGCTAATGTTGATGATGACTATATTTTTGTCTCTAAATTATACACATTCTACTAAAAGTACCCTATCTAGGTACTTATCTAAGTTAGTTAGAGAACTTGGGCTAAGATTCTCCCATTATCTTGAGGTAAATCATTTTATTCTTTTGGCTTATAGCCTTACCTTTTAAAAAAAGCAAGTCTCAAAATAAGAAATAGGAACAAAAAAAGCAGAACTGAGATAAGTCAGACTGTATAAACGTGCCTACCTTCAAACTAAAGGGATCAAAATAGGTGTGCTGATAAACATGTTTACAAAAAATCTCCCTTAGTAGCTGGATAAGTAGGACTGGCATAAATAACAAGTATGGAAAAACAAGAACGCAGAAAAACTGAACATTCATATATAAATGTCTAACCATCATGCTGTACACCTGAAACTAATATAATATAGAATGTCAATTGTAAAAAAAAATTAATATTTAAAAATATTGGAACAGTCATCCATTGCTGGTAAGACTATAATGTGGTTCAGCTACTGAGGAAAACAGTTTAGTGGTTCCTTAAAAAGTTAAACACAGAATTACCATATGACTCAGCAACTCTATATATATATACTGAAAACAGGTACTTAAACAAATACACATTATACACATATTCATAGCAGCACTATACACATAGCCAAAAGGCAGAAACAGCTCAAATATTCAGTGATTTTTTTTAATGTCCAACAACAAATGAACAGATAAACAAATTGTGATATATGTATATAAAATGGAATATTATTCAGCCATAAAAAAGAATGAAATACATGCTGCAATGTGCGTAAACCTCATTAAGTGAAAGAAGCCAGATACAAAAGGTCACATTTATCTCTTCTGATTATTTCACATAAGTGGAATTCATATGAAATAATCAGAATAAATTCACAGAGACATAATGTAGACAGGTAGTTGTCAGCAGCTAAATCAAGTAATGGAATGCAACTGCTTAATGGACAAGAGGATTTCCTTTTGGAGTGATAAAAAGGTTTTAGAACTAGATCAAGGTAGTGGCTGCACAAACATTGTGAATGTACTAAAGGTCATTCACTGAATTATTCATCTTAAAATGGTCAATTTTATATTATGTGAATTGTACCTCAATTAAAAAGATTATAAATATATATATACTAGAAGCCCGTTGTAAGAAGATATTCATGCAATAGGCCTTCCTTCCCCTGGCTGCCAGTACTGGTTTTCCTCCAGCACCCAGGACCCAGGCCTTAGCTCCAACCACAGCGGAGAAGCCAAGCCTCTTCAGTCTTCAGTCGTCTTGAGTCTTCAGTCTTCGCTAGGGCCAGAGCTTTCAGTCTTCGCTCCATGCCTGCATATGTAAATTAACCACCATCTTTGTTGGGTTAATTTGCATACTCACCCTGATTGGCTGGTGGGTGTAGCAGAGTGACACCAATTTGCATGTTTCTCTTTTATTAGAGTGTGTGTGTGTGTATATATATATATATTAGCACTTAACAAACAGCAGATGATAAGGAAAAAGGGAAGGAGGTGGGAGTGTAGAAGAACAGTAAGCAGCAGCCATCTAGAACACTGAGAATGTTAGAAAACAGGGAAATTGCTATTTTGTAATTTTTTTTACTGCTTACTGAATTTTTATTTAATGGCCTATTAAAATACTTTTTAGCCCCAGCCAAGTGGCTCAAATAGTTGGAGTGTTGTCCTGTACAGCAAAAAGTTGCAGGTTTAATTCTGGATCAGGACACATTCCTAGGTTGCACATTAGATCCTAGGTTAGGAAGCAACAAATTGATGTTTCTCCCTCCCTCCTCCACCCTCTCCTTCTCCCTTTCTCCCTTTCTCCCTTTCTCTTTCTCTAAAATTAATAAACATATCCTTGGGTGAGGATTTTTAAAAAAGAAAATGTTTTTTAAAAAGTAATACTTTTTACTTTTCCTAATATTTAAAAAGAATTGTTCTCTTGCTAAAGGATATCTTAGATATTGCAGAGTACACCAAAAAAACTGAACAATTTAAGGCATGATTTTAAAAATAAAAAGCAAAACTAATCACTGTCTTTGAATACAAACACATACAATTAATATATGAACACCTTTGTGAATGGTAAACACCAAACTCAGGACAGTGGTTACTTTCCAGATGGGAACAATACAGAGACATGTTTGGAGTGGAATACACAAAAAACTTCAACTGTATGTAAGGTCCTAATTAGTAACCTGGGTAGTGAGTAAATTGGTGTTTATTATATAATTCTCTAAATTTTTCTAGCCTCAAAATTATCAATAGTTAATTTTAAAAAAGAAAGCAGAATAGCATGCCCACTGAACAATAGTAAAGAAGAAAAGAAAGAGGACAGGAAAGAGTCGGCTGTATTTAGCCCTAAGTGTGGCTACAAAGAATATACTTCAAATCCCCATATAATTTTCCATGTTAGTTTAATGAGGTTCGAAGGTTTTCTAGATATGCATAAACCAACAAGCAGTTTGCCTAAAAGCTGGTTAAAGTTATAGTACAAAACCAAAAGAAAATATACCAATTTTTTAAATGGAATTACTCTTTCACTTACCATAATTTTAATTTCCCTTTTACAAATGTTGAGGTCAGGCAAGTTATTGACATACATTCGCTTCAATGCATAGCGGATTCCACCATGAGTCCGCACCAGGAAAACTGTGGAGAATCCACCTAGAAGAACAAGTACCAATTAATTAAAAAGAATGAGAAATTACTTCCAAAATCATGTAATATTGAGGAACTTAATCTCATAGGGAAATAAACTGACTGTACCCAAGGCAAAAGTAAGAACAGTAAGCAATTAATAAATTAGATTGAAACACTGGCTTCTTATGACAATCATGAAGTAGCACTTAAGAGGACAACATGAAAATGAATATGTATTTGTTTTGAAGATTAAAATACCATAATTTCATTTTGCATGTGAATATCTTTTATGTGGTATGTGGAAATTGTCGCATGTAAATTAATATTATAGTTGGCATATACTAGTGATTGCCTACCCATCAGCCTCTGCCTCCTCTGTGATGACCAAACACTGATGTTATTTAAGACAAGGCATCAATAGAAAAAGGAGAATATGCCTTACCAACAATTTAAAACTTTAAATCAAACCACAATTCAGAATGTACTAGTATTTGCAATGATCAAAAAGGGCCTGGAAGTAAGCAACGGATATATTGGAGACATGCATTAATGAGTACTTAATAAATATTTATTTGTTCATATAATTAGACATCCTTACAGCTTACAGAGCACTTCTTTAAAACTCTCATAGGGAAACACATGTACTTCCTGCCTCCCACAACCATATCAAAAATACAACTAAAGCCCTAACCAGTCTGGCTCAGTGAATAGAGCATCGGCCTGCGGACTCAAGGGTCCCAGGTTCGATTCCGGTCAAGGGCATGTACCTTAGTTGCGGGCACATCCCCAGTAAGGAGTGTGCAGAAGGCAGCTGATTGATGTTTCTCTCTCATCGATGTTTCTAACTCTCTATCCCTCTCCCTTCCTCTCTGTAAAAAAAATCAATAAAATATATTTTAAAAAATACAACTAAAATACAGAACAACTATTATCCAGAACCGCGGGAAAGCTGTCTAAGTGGAAGTACTACAACTACAGAGTTAAAGAAGAAAGCACATTGAAACTGGTGGGAGGGTGCAGGTGTGGAGGCGCAGAACAGGATGGCATCTGGGTGTGCTGTTTTTTTAATTGGGAGGGAGATACAAGCTCCCGCTTGCTCTGAACTCCAGTGCTGGGGGAGACTCGGGGGGACCCAGACACATACGGGCAGAAACTGAACTGTCTGGCATCGGGGCAAGAACACAGAGGTGACTTTCTTCCAGACAGAGGTGCTCACAACTGTCACAGTTCCTGGGCTGGGACCTCCCTGGTGCAGGGCTGACTGGCAGCCATGGCTCTTTGCTCCACCCTGGTGATTCCCTGAGACGGCACCCCATCCAATTTACAACCCCACCCAAGCTGAGCACAGCAGCTTTTGCATATGAATGGCCGGTTCTTTCTCAGCCTAAAAACTGTCAAACTACTGCTTGGTCAGGGAGCCCCAAAGCTATCAAAAGAAGGCAAAGGCCAGCACCACAGCAGCCTGCCTTGCTTCACAGCTGGGCCTCATCTGGGTACTTCCAAACCCCATACAAAGAGGAGGAATCTGCAGATCTCTCCGTAGCTCCTGTGGGGTGGCCCCAGGCAGTGGCTGACTTTGCACCTCCTTGAAGATCCAAGAGCCAGTGTACCCAGTGATCAGTGTGAGAACATACCAGATTAAAACTCTTCACATCCATAAGTGACACACTCAAGGGGCAGACTCAGAGAAGCACTAAAGCCCCACTGAAGCAAGTCCTGCTCCATAAGGGTGTCTCCTGCACAGAAGCTCTTCCATTGTAGACACAGCTGGTCCTCACAGACAATATGTCTGGAGGTCAATTCCTAAACTAAGCCTAATCTGTAGTGACACCAACAGCAATCAAGGCTCAATTACAACAAGACTGTGCACACAGCCCACAAAGGGGTGCACCAAGAGTGTCCACTCAGGTGACTGGGGAGGCTGAGCCACTGGGCCCTATGGGACACCTACTATACAAGGCCACTCTATCAACTCAAGGAGACTTAGCAGCTACACAATACATAGAAACAAACACAGGGAAACAGCCAAAATGCAGAGACAAAGAAACATGCACAAATGAAAGAAATGGAAAAAAGCAAACTACTGGACATAGAGTTCAAAAACACAGTTATAGGGTTACTCAAGAATCTTCTAGAGAGAAAAACCAAGATGGCGGCATAGGTAAACACTGGAGTTTGCTGCCTTGAACAACCACTTAAAAAATACAACTAAAAGACGAAACGGACATCATCCAGAACCACAGGAAAGCTGGCTGAGTGGAAATTCTACAACTAGAGAGAAAGAGAAAAGCACAGTGAGACTTAGAGGAGGTGCGGAAGTAAAGTGCAGAGGTACAGAGGTGCATGCAGAAAGCGCTGGCAACTGAGGAGGTGGTTGTCTTTTTCAATCGGGAGGGAGTCTCAAGTTCCCAACTGCTCTGAACTCCAGTTCCGGGCGAGTCTCTGGGGACCCAGACACATATGGGGAGAAACTGGACTGTCTGGCATCGGGCGGAATTTGAGGGTAGCTTTCTTTCAGAGAAGCTTGCAGAGATTAGCGGGACACTGAGACCCGGGGCCTCTTAGGGTAGGACTGAGGATCAGCCATAGCTGTTTGCTCCGC